TACATAGAAAACCCTCCCCCAAAAAACTATTACAATAAATGAATTCAGTTAAGTTGCAGGATACAAAATCGATATGTAGACACCTGTTGCATTTCTATACACTAATTACAAAGTAGCAGAAAGAAAAAAAAAACTCCACTTATAATTGCACCAAAAAGAACAAAATACCTAGGAAGAAACTTAACCAAGGAAGTGAAAACCTGTACACTAAAAACAATAAGGCATTGATGAGACATTGAAGACTACACAAATAAATAAAAAGATCTATCATGCTCATGGATTAGGAAAATATTGTTAAAATGTTCATACTACCCAAAGCAATCTACTGAGTAAATATAATCCCTATCAAAGTACCAATGGTATTTTACACTGAACTAGAACAAATACTCCTAAGATTTATATGGAATCACAAAGACCCTGAATAGCCAAAGCAATCCTGAGAAAGAGCAACAAAGCTGAAAGCAGCACAATCTCAGATTTCAAACTATACTACAAAGCTATAGTAATCAAAAACATGTGGAACTGGCACAAAATTAGACACCTATATCAATGGAACTGAATAGAGAGCCCATACTTACATGATCAATTAATCTGGTACACAAGAGGCAAGAAGATACAATAGGGAAAAGACAGTTTCTTCAATAAATGGTACCGGTAAAACTGCACAGCTACATACAAAAGAATAAAACTGGACCACTTTCTTACACCACATACAAAAATAAACTCAAACGGGTTAAAGACATATACATAAAACCATAAAACTCCTAGAATAAAAGTAGGCAGTAATTTGACATTGGCCTTAGCAACATTTTTCTAGATGTCCAGAAAGAGAAACAAAAGCAAAAATAAACTATTGGGACTACACTAAAATGAAAAGCTTTTGCACAGAGAAAGAAGCTGTCAACAAAACAACAAAGGAACCTATTGAATGGGAGAAGATATTTGCAAATCATAAATCCAAAAAGGGGTTAATATCCAGAATATATAAAGAAGTTATACAAAACACCAAAAACAATCTAAAAAATGTGCAAGGACCTGAATAGACATTTTTCCCCCCAAGAAAGAGACACAGATAGCCAACATGAAAAGATGCTCAACTAATCATCAGGGAAATGTAAACCCAAACCACAATGAGGTATCTCCTCACACCAGTCAGAATGGCTAAGAAATAAATGTTGGCAAAGATGTGGAGAATAGGAACTCTCATGCATCCTTGATGGGAATGTAAATTGGTACAGTTAGTGTGGTCAACAGTATGTTGGTTACTCAAAAAATTAAAATTACCATAACCCAGTAATTCCACTTCTGGGTATTTACCCAAATAAAAACACTAACTCAAAAAGACCTATGCACCCCATGTTTATTGCAGCATTATTTACAAGAGCAAAACAAGCTAAATGTCCATCAATAAATGAATGGATAAATATATGGTATAACACACACACACACACACGTGTGTGTGCAATATTCCATTACTCAGCCATACAAAAGAATATGATCTTGCCTTTTGAGACAATGTGGGTGAACCTAGAGGGTATAATTAAAGTAAGTCAGACAAAGATAAATACCATATGATTACTCTCATATGTCGAACCTAGAAAACAAAACGAATGAACAAAACAAGAAAACAGATACAGATTCATAAATACAGGGAGCAAACTAGTAGTTGCCAGGATAAGTGATAGGTGAAGGAGATTAAGAGTTACAAATTTCCAGTTACAACGTAAATAAGTCAGAGGGATAAGAGGGAATATAGTAAGATTTTAATAACTTTGTATTGTGACAGATGATAACTACACTCACCATGCTGAGCATTTCCTAATGTGAACAGATTTGTTTTTTTAGTATTTATTTATTTTTGAGTGACAAGGCACAGTGAGGGAAGGGCAAAGAGAGGGAGGGGAAACAAAGAATCCAAAGCAGGCTCCAGGCTCTGAGCTGTCAGCACAGCCCCACCCGGGGCTTGAATTCATGAACCATGGTATTATTTTTGAACCAAAGTGGGGAGGCTTAACTGACTGAGCCACCCAAACACCCTGGCAATTTGAACAGATTTTTAATGTGTTATGAGATATTGACCCAAAAATTAATACAAAGAGGTCGAAGACCAGTAAGATCCCAGAATTTCAAGAAGGAAAAAGTGGGAGAGATTAGGGGACTTACATGGCTTTTTTCAAAATTTATTCTACAGCATTAATAATTTAAAGAGTGACAAGTCAACAATAAAGCAATTAAACTAATGAAAGAATCTCAGGAACAAATTGTCATATATGGATACATGACAGAAATGAAAGTCAGTAGGGTAGTAGGTGGGTAAATAATGTTGCAATAACTTGTTACCCGTGTAATGTTTTTAAAATTATCTTTATCTCACACCATACATAAAATTGTGTTTTAGATAAATTACAGACCTGAAAGTGAAATAGAACTATACAACATTTAAAAGAAAATATAGGAGAATATCATTATAAACTCAAGGTAGGGAATAATTTCCTACATAGGATGCAAAAAGAACAAAAATGGGAAGGAAGAAAAATTATTTTAAATTAAAATTTCAATCTTCTACATAGTAAATGATCATAAACAAGGCTAAGAAAGAAACTACAGACTTAGAAAATATATTTGTGAGGGCAATTAATTTCCAAGGATTAGTATCTACAACGACTGATCCAAATTTTCTTTTGTGAATTTTAGATACATAAAAGTTTGTATTAAAAATGAAAAGATTTAAAATAATCATAAACCAATTTTGTGTAACCGTAAATAACATACTTGCTGAAAAATAATTATTTTGCAAAACAAAAACAGTAACTTTGACAAGTATGGTCTTGTTTTACATTTTTGCAAATCTCTAATATCTGGCTTAAAGGAAGACAGGTGGATTCTCTACTTCTGCATTCAATCTGTTGCAGTCTTTTTTGGTTTATGTATATGAAGAAAACCCAGCTCTACTCACATGAATGTGTACTTGAAAAAGTACACACACACACGCACCTGGGAGAATGTCAAAGTCTCCCAGGTTCTCTACAGGATACTTTGAGAACTGCTATCCTAGAATAAATATTTCCCACAATTCAATAAGAAAAGGCACAGATTTCAGTAGGATAAAAAAATGGCCACAAGATATAAAGAAGCAATTCTCATAAAAGGAAGTCTAAATGCCCCCAAAACATTTGTTACTCTTTAATAGCTTTAGTAATTAGAGAACTACAATTTAAAATGGCAATATAGGGGCACCTGGCTGGCTCAGTCAGTTGAGCATCCGACTTTAGCTCAGGTGATGATCTCGCAGTTCACTAGTTTGAGCCTCCTGTCTGGCTCTGTGCTGACAGCTCATAGCCTGGACCCTGCTTCGGATTCTGTGTCTTCCTCTCTCTCTGCCCTTCCCTGCTCACACTCTCTCTCACACACACACAAAAGTAAGTAAACATTAAAAATTTTTGAATGACAATACAGCTTCCACACCCACCAGACAAACCAGAAGTTTTAAATCTGGCAATTACCAATGTTATTAAAGGCTTAAGCAATGATAACCCTTATTCACTGCTGGTGGGTGTGTGGATTGTTGTTTTGGGGAGGGAAAAAAAAAGTTATATTTAGGAAGGTTGCAGCCATCCATATGGCGATACACAGCAATTTCTCTTCTCGATGTTTACTCTAAAGAAGCACAAGGAGACTTGCCGAAGGTGGACCACTGAGGCATTGTACTAATAGCAAAAATTGAAAACAACCTAAAAGGCCATCCAGAGAAGAAATAGCTAAAAACAAACACAAAACTGTGGCATTTAGTACAGTGGAATTTTATATAGCAGTTAAGTAAGACCAGAGCTACATTATAAAAAAATCACATAGAAATATTTCTTCTACAATACTGAATGTTTCAGATTGATACATACAGTATACTTTTAGAATTTTTAATAATCCAGTTGACCTTTGAACAACATGGTTTGAATCCTGCAGGTCTACTTACATGTGGATTTTTTTAATAGAAATGCAATAACTATACTTTCTCTTCCTTATGGTTTTCTTTATTTTAAGCACATAGTACATAACACATATAATACAAAGTATGTGTTAACTGACTGTCTATCAGTAAGGCTTCCGGTCAGCAGTAGGCTGTTTATAGTTAAATTTTGGGGAGTCAAAGTTCTACACAGACTTTAGACTGCATAGGGGTACATGCCCCTAACCTCCTTGTTGTTTGAGGACCAGATGTGCTGTATTTTATGGATATATACATTCCTCATATAACGTATTATATTAAAAGAATAAAAAACATGGCAAAGGAATCCATGTATCTACTTTAAAATAGTGGCTTTTGGGGCGCCTGGGTGGCGCAGTCGGTTAAGCGTCCGACTTCAGCCAGGTCACGATCTCGCGGTCCGTGAGTTCGAGCCCTGCGTCAGGCTCTGGGCTGATGGCTCGGAGCCTGGAGCCTGTTTCCGATTCTGTGTCTCCCTCTCTCACTGCCCCTCCCCCGTTCATGCTCTGTCTCTCTCTGTCCCAAAAATAAATAAACGAAAAAAAAAAATAGTGGCTTTTGCTGGATAGATATGGAGGAATATCACAACAGGAAGAGGACCTAATGATAGGACATCACGTTCATCTTATTTTTCACTCCCCAACAGACAAAAGAAAACTAAAGCAAACATGTCTAAATGGTAGTATTTGTTAAAACTGCGTAATTGAACATTTTTTTGTTATTATTTGCCCCTGTATGTAAATTTGATATTTTATAATACTTTGAACGTTACGTTATATTAAAAATCCAAGTTCACATCAGATATGACAGTGGACATAAAACATTAGTTGGGATTTAGGAATGTATAGGGAATTTTATAACATTTCTATGGTCATTTTAGGACAGTAACATTCGAATCATTTTTGACATGGATTCACCACTTTTCAGTTGTTTATAAATATTTTCCTAATATACTTTCCCCACGATTGCCCTTCTAGACAGCAGAATGCTTCTGTTCATGTTTATTGTGTCCCTGCAGGTGGACAGTGTTATGAATACAAATGGATGGCCAGTGCTTGGAAAGGTTCTTCCCGAACAGTCTGGTGTCAAAGGTCAGATGGTATAAACGTAACAGGTAAACCTCCAAATTTCTTTGGTTTTTGAAAGTCTTCCTGTAACACACATGCAGTTGGTTAAACAATTAAGGAAACAAAGATACTCAAGGTATCCAAAACATGTTTCGAATTCAGTAACTAGGCTATATATAACTGGCGACCAATGACTATTTTTTAATGTTTCAATTAAATTCTCCCCCATCTAGCCATTTTAGACATTGCTGCATGAGTTTGGTTAAAATAGTCTAATTCCAATAAATTATCATAATTCTCAGATTATCTTTTCTAACAATTTTTATATGTGAATAACTTACCACATGCTAAATATATAGATATATATTTTGTTTCTGGATCTTAGAAACCATATACATGCAGACCAAAAATATTACAAAGGGAGTATGGTTTTACAAATCTAAGTACCTTGATACTTAGATAATTCAGAAATCTATGTTTTAGTTTTCTATTCATTAATAGGTAAAATCTGTTGGCAAATCTCAAGCCCAGACTATCTGGGCAGCTAACCCACTCTGTCTCCACTCAAAAATTCTATACTCAAAGAAGAAATCCAAATGAAAAATCTTTCTGAAATGTCCCTTGACCCAAATATACCCCCAAAGAGCTTCTCTAATCTGCAATTACTTTAAGTCTCCTTATCTAAACTCAGTAAATGCAAGGGATCTTAATGTCCCTATGAAGTAGCAAGAAACTTGGCTCCAGGTATGTACTGAACCACCTTGCAAATTTCCTAGGAAAAAAAAAACAAGGTTGGAGCCAGAACCTCAACCTTAAACATATGACCCAAAGATCTAAGATCTCTCCTTCAACAATTTATTTGTGTAAGTCTAATCTATAGAGATCTTCATAGTGCAGCAGTAGCATGAGTTTGACAGTTAACTGCTTAGGGGAACCTGCTGACTTACTGCCATCGTTTTGACCCTCTGGCAGGGAGAGAAAGTAATGTGCATTTGGGTGTCTGTGAGTAATGTCCATTTATAAATTTAGCTGTAATATATACATCAAGATAACAGGAACAGGAATCAATATGCTCTTTGGAAAGCATCAATTTTTATATTAAATTTTAAATTACCTGCATTTATTTAAACGTAATTACTTATTTCCTCCCTATGAAAGCTGGAACAGGATATCAAATTATGTTTTTGTGAAGGTAAGATTTTATACATGACAAATCTGTATCAAGAAACCATTGATAATAGCAACCCCCAGTGGACACATATATAACAAAGAAGAGACCCCCTGCCAGGAAACTCTTTGCTCTCTCTCAGTATTAGGCAGAAAAGGTTCCAACCACACCACTGTTAAGAGGCATATAGGGAGAAAGAGTCCTGGGAAGGGAAGCATAGATTTTCTAAATTTGAAGGCATTTATAGAGGTGGTACATTCGACTCAAGTGTTGAAAATGAAGGTCTGCATTCTTTAAACTATTCAGAGGGGCTGTTGCAGCTTCCCCAGAGGGTCCTATTACTTCTCAGGGCTTTTTTCCAAATATGGATGCAAATAATATTTGTTTGCCTTTTCTTCTACATATTAAAAGCTCTTTTCTCACTAAAATTGGGGATAGTCCCCAATGTCAAGGTAAGTCAAATTTTAAAAGACTTACTGTAGAAATCATATGTTCACCTTCTTTTTAATTCATTAAACTATTCCATGTATTTTTTTCTAATACTCTTTGATACCAAAAAGCCAACATGTAAATGATTTGTGATAAACTCTGTGTGCATTCTTCTTCCATATTTTAGGAGTGGTAAGATTTCTTTATGAGAAATAGACAAGCATGTGAAGTATATTACCTACCTTGACCCCCTACTTCTGTTTTATGAAGTTGTCCTTATTAGAAATCAAGATGTTATTTTCCTTTTTCTTCATGTGTTTAATGATAATAACTCAAACATGGACATTTAACTGCAATTGCCTTGCAATGACTAACTGCTTTCCCATCACAAATTTTTTTTTTTGATGAATAGTGTATTTACATTATTGAGAGATAAGGCAAAGAATTAACAATAGTTATCTTTGATTAAATCCCAGGGGATGATCAGTTCCATAAATAAAGGAAAAAACTTTGCTTTCCTAAAATTCTGTTCAAGTGAGCAAGTATGGTTTGAAACTCTAAGTTCCTTCCATATCAGCAATATGGTTTCTCTAGGACATCTGTTCCCATCTTAAAACCTCACTTTTAACAATTTATGCAGGCACACTCTACTTGAAAAGAAGAAAGAGAAGGAAGAAAAAACAGAGCTGCCATGTCAAGTTTAAACAATAACATAAATATACCTCCTAGTAGCTACAAGTGTTTTCTTTCCTCTACCCCCACAACTCCTGAATTAACAGGAATTGTAAATTTTCTCAAAGAAATACGATTAAAGAACATGTATGTGGTAGTCACGTAAATTAAAGAGACATCTCAAAGAATGTGACAACTATTTCTTTGAATAGCCAAGAAAAAAGTTAACTTTGAAGGAAAATTAAATCTGATTTGTAATGTTAAACTGGGCCAACAGGGGGTTCTAGGATAGAAATAGCCCTTGTGCAATTAGTGTTTTCAAATTAGCAACTAAAAAACAAGCACTTACTGAACACCTGCTGAGTTCCAGGTTCTGTGCCATCTGTTCTGAAGAAGAACAAGAGTCTCTGGGGCACCTGGGTGGCTCAGTCAGTTAAGCATCCAACTTCAGCTCAAGTCATGATCTCACAGTTCTTGAATTTGAGCCCCACGTTGGGCTCTGTGCTGACAGCTCAGAGCCTGGAACCTGCTTCAGAATCTGTAACTCCCTCTCTCTTTGTGCTTCCCCTGCTCACGCTCTCTCTCAAAAAATAAGTAAATGTTGGGGTGCCTGGGTGACTCAGTCGGTTGAGCACCGGATTCAGCTTAGGTCACGATCTCACGGTCCGTGAGTTCGAGCCCCGTGTCGGGCTCTGTGCTGACAGCTCAGAGCCTGGAGCCTGTTTCAGATTCTGTGTCTCCCTCTCTCTCTGACCCTCCCCCATTCATGCTCTGTCTCTCTCTGTCTCAAAAATAAATAAACGTTAAAAAAAATTTTTTTTAATAAGTAAATGTTAAGAAAAATAAAAAAGAAGAGCCTCAAGTTCCTATATAAAGTGGTCAAGGTTAACCAACTATCTCACAATCAGTTGCTCTTGGAAAAATCCATGGATTCCCAAAGTGGTTCAGGATTCAAAGACACGTCTATACAATAGTGTATTTCTATCATTGCAAGAGATGCTGCTTGTCAATGTATGATTTTCTGTTCTGCAGGGGGCTGCTTGGTGGTGCGCCAGCCTGATGCTGACAGGTCTTGTAACCCACCGTGTAGTCAACCCCACTCTTACTGTAGTGAGGTATGTGTGAATTCATTAGGATAAATAAACTAGCTTCATTATTTCTCCCCCCACTGACTCTTGTACAGTCCATTCCCCCCCCCCCCCAAAACGCACGTCTTGAGGCCTGCAACTTAATTTCTGGACCTCTCCGTTTATCAATGTAAATAATTCTGAACATACTTGTTTCTGTTAGAATAATTTGTGTACAGTAAAAAATGTATGTCCTTTTTTATGTAGTTAAGACAGAAACTACATGTGGTAAACTTCCAAAACAATACTTCTTGAAAGCCTTCTCTTCAAGTCCTATCTGTCATGCTTTCAAAGATCACCTTATATGTGTAGAAATCCTCTTGTTCTCCTGCAGATGAGGACATGCAGTTGTGAAGAAGGATACACTGAAGTCATGTCTTCTAATGGTACACTTGAGCAATGCACACTTATCCCCGTGGTGGTGATACCCACTGTGGAGGACAAAAGAGGAGATGTGAAAACGAGTCGCGCAGTACATCCAACCCCATCCTCCAATAACCCAACAGGACGGGGAAGGACCTGGTTTCTACAGCCATTTGGGCCAGGTGAAGTGACTAGACAGTGTTGATGTAGAATCTCTTACTTATACATTTAACCATGTCAAAGGATTAAAAGAATGAGCAAGCATTTTCATATGAGCTATTAATTATTTCATCTGTATTCATTTATTCTGATACTGCCATATATTATGTTTGTACTATTATAAAAAAAGCACTCATGCTCAAAGTTCAGAGAAATGACTTTCTTCTATGGAAAAAAATTTAGGGTATTAGTTATTTTGATCTCAGACCTACATTTACAAGTATAATTACGATCATATTGAATAAAGAAATCTAACAGTGAAAATATTAATGAGGAAAAAAGTGTATTGTCATTCAGAACTGGAACAAATAAAACTGTAAAGACATTCAAGAATTTTTCATTTGACCACAGACGGGTAATAATTTGAACCTAAAATAGGAACATCAGTAATGCAGTGCTGTGCCAAGGGGCACTTGGTGGCCAGCCCAATTTCTATCAGCTCTTCCGTTTGATAAACTGAAGTAATCAGAACCTGTACTAGCATCAGATACAGAAGGGCAGGGATGGAGCCTTCCTGTCTAGATGGGATGATCTAAATTTGAAGACTGACCAGACCCCTGTCATATTAAACAGACATTCTTAATGTGTCTAGTAATGGACTTGAAGCCAATACAGGCAAAAGCTTGTAGGTCTAATAAAATGCTATCCCTACTCTGCATACTTTCTCTCCCCAGTTGAAATCAACTATATGCTTATTCCTAGAACTAACGCTGGTACTTAAAATTGTGCTATGAAGGCTATATGGTAGGTAAGATCATGATGGTGTTTCTTACACCAAGAGGAATTGCTAGTTAGTGACCAAAGGAAATCTCCAGGCAAAGCCAGGTGCAGTCTACCTTATACTTGTTAGAAACATGAGAAAAGAAAGAATCCTCATAGCTAGCACATCTCTCTTTGGAATGTATTAAGTCAAAACACTTTCCCTTACTGGAGAATCATTATTAGGATTTTAAGTATTTTCAGTTTTGGAGTGAGGTAGCTCAAATACTGTGATTTAACCACATTATCCCTGCCTTGGTAAGGTTCTTAGCTGAAATACAATATATTTTGCAAAGCTGACTTGTCTTTGCAAACACGGGAAACTCTTCTCTCAGTATTCAAGATTGTGGACCAGCAAATGGCTGTTAGCAATTGTGACCTTGAATAAGAATCCATGCAGATCTCCTCAAATCAAAATTGGTTTTTAAAAAGAGTGTTTTAAGTTTAATATATAACTTCCCTAAAGTGAGTATTTTAGTATATTAAAAAGGTTTATGTTCTTAAAAAGTACATTTAGGCATTGTTCTTGGTTTTTGAGGAACTCAAAGATTATTTGTTGAAGAACTCTCAGGGCAGATTTTAAACCAGTGTCTAATTTTTTAAGTCTTTAGAATTGAAAAGAAGGCTATTTAGAATATTAACAGATTGTTGCCAACTAATGGACCCCCTGGGTTGATCCAGCTTCAGGTAAAAAAACATTTGTTTTTGATGCCTTCCAAATATTAAATAAACCAGAGTGTCTCTGAAGTCCATTTGCCCAATCTATAATTTTTGCACCAATAGCACCTTTAATTTTATGTATGCAACAGAAAATTTATGTTGATGTGAGTTTCAGATTAAGTTAGGTAAGGTTATTAATACTATCTTCTAGTTGAAGTTTATTCTCAGCACAAAACTAAGAAGTTCAAAGAAAATAAGACCAGAAAACCAAATTAGGGAAGTTCCTGTCTTGCCTAATTCCATATAATAGAAAAGTTAGAAAAAAATTATTCAGAGTTAAAAAGTTATATGTTATAATCAAACTTGGCTATTTTCGCAAATGATGTTGTCAAATGAACCTTAAAATACAGTGTAAGTGTAAATTAGATAAAAGATTAATTCTAAAAAAAATGTTGAATAGATTCACTTTCAATTCATGTAGGAAAAAAAAGGCTAAAGTGACAAAATTTATGTTCAAATACCTGTCTGCATCAACCCTAAGCTATTGGACTTTCTTGAAATTGCATTATTTTTCTTCTTGTAATTGCCATTCTTAGAGTGAAAATCAGAACAAAATGTTTATTTAGCATTACACACATATTTCATTTGAACTAAAATTTAGTTAAGCAGCAGCAAAAATTTAGGCATATAAACTTGAAATCTGAACACAAATTTAATTGAAAACATTATTTCTTTGCCTTTCAAGTCTCATTGATAATTTACCTTTAATGAAGCAGCATCTAACTCATAGTAGCAGTGTTGCATTCATCATTAACTGTGCCTAAGCAATAATTCATTTTGTTTTGAAACAATGTGGTCATATGTGGCTGGTCATTGGTCATAGTTAAAGACTGTCTCATATATATATATATATATATATAATCACACACCAAACTAATGTAAATTAATGACTAATATCCATTCTTCTTAGATGGGAGACTAAAGACCTGGGTTTACGGTGTAGCAGCTGGGGCATTTGTGTTACTCATCTTTATTGTCTCCATGATTTATCTAGCTTGGTGAGTAACTATTTCACAATCTAAGGGGGCACAACAATCTATTTCAGCAAAAATACTGTCGGTTGACCATAACACAGGAACAGCAAACTATATCAAATAAGTATTCCACATTGAGTGTTCGTCTGCAATTCTAAATAAAAATGGCTTCTGTCATAGTTGGTCTAAAACCTACCAAATCTGAGCCGTTTGAAATCTGAAAATGAGCCAGAGCTGCGCCAGGTCATCTTAAGTGTGTTCTCCTTGGTTCTGCAAGAGAATACTGCTTCATATGCTTACAGTGAACTCCAGACTGATCCTCAGTTACCACTGGAGGAAGAGATTATGGTCATACCTAATCCGATTCAACTACCTTTTTAAACATATATTATAAATTATGTATTATTTACGAAGATTTCTGCTCAAATATAAATGACTATACTACAGTATTTCCATTGTTAGTACCAGAGGAATTCCATTTGATAATTCACTTTTATAAGATAATAAAATACGGGAGGAGTTCTTTTTCAATTTTATTCAGACCATACCTAAGAAATTCAAAGATACCAGAGTATCCAATTCTAAGATTGAATTTAGGTCATACAGGCAATTAGCAACTTTATCAATACATTTCAGAGTTTGTCATTTGAAACAGTAAAATTTACAAATGATTCTTTCTCCTATTGTTGTTGTGTTGTTTACAGCAAAAAGCCAAAGAAACCCCAAAGAAGGCAAAACAACCGACTGAAACCTTTAACCTTAGCCTATGATGGAGACGCAGACATGTAAAATATAACTTACCCTGGCAACAACCAGTTTCAGATTTCTGACTTTGCAGTAGACATCCAGAAGCCACAAAGCTCTTCATACTGTGTGAATTAAAATGCAATGTAACTTTTTAAAAGAGCATCAAAGAAAGGAGTGAAAATCACAGTGCCATTGGAGATATTAAGACAGTACCACTTACAAAAAAACAAAAAAACAAAAAACAAAAAAACAAAAAAACAAAAAAACAAAACAGCCCTGAGAATTCTAGGAGTTTTAGTTGAATACATGCTGCATTCTAAGTTTTCTGTGATCTTTTCTGAAATCTACCAACTGACAATTCACATTCATCTCTAAAATATGGTTGTGGAATTGTTCAGTTAGGATGCCTGATCCAAGCCTCTGTCGGCAGTGTTAACCCGTAACAACATTTTAGCATGAAGAGTTTATACCAAGATCTCTACAATACTATAGTGAAGCATAACAACATGTATACGCAATTGAATGATACACATTACTACGTCAGACTATGTACTTGTTAATAAGCAATTTTAATGGTGAATAAAAGATAAGCGAATAAAAGATAAGCTCTAAGCGGAGCAGAAAACCCATTGAGTAAATTCAGCATCTTGGTCGTTGATGATAGCTTTCATTAACCTGCATTTCAGAGGCAAAGACTTTCTTCTAAGAATTAGTTCGTGTCTTTCTCCAAAATACGAATGCTGGACATGTACTAGGATCTTAGAGAAAAAAAAAAAGTCCTCAAGTTCAGTATTTTATAGTGGTTATTGTCTGGAAAACTTATTTGCTTGTGTTAATATATTTCTACTTTCCCTAATTTTCAAACTGGTTGCCTGCATCTCTTTTGCTATATGGAAGGCACATTTTTGCACTATATTAGTGCAGCATGATAGGCACTTAACCAGTATTGCCATAGAAACTGCCTCTTTTCATATGGGATGAAGACATATGTGCTCAGAGTGTCATGGAGACATTTGCAAGTTCTTGTATTCTAAAGAGTACAAAGTTCAGTTTGGATGGCAACAGGATGGAATTCGCTATTACATCTGCTGTATACACTCTTCCTCATTGCTGCAGCCATTGCGAAATCAACCACATGGCAGGGATTTAAATGTTCAAATCCCGAACTCATTAACCTTTCAAAAGATGGATCTCTCTAGTTGGTTTTTAATTGTACTTTGAAGGCTGTTTATGACTAGATTTTTATATTTGTTATCTTTGTTAAAAAAAGAAAAGAAAAGAAAAAAAGGAGCTGGTTGTCTTTTTAATTTTGAGCAGATGGAGAAAATAAGGTCTTGATAATTTTTGTAACTAAAAGGAATCAAAATTGTGTGTTGACTCTTCTTTTTCCTGATTCACATTCTTCGTTTCATGTCAAATGTATCCATGGTTGTGTCTTTCTTACTACTAAAATTTGAAGGAGTCTTTGTATGGTTTCAAAAGCTAAAATTTTCAAGAGAGAATAAGTGTTTTGCCCAGGGCTTTGTTAAATATCTAGACCAAGGGTCGCAAAATTTTCTGTCAAGGCCCAGATAGTAGAAATTTTCAGCCAGGTCTTTGTCACAGCTTCTCAATTCTGTCATCAGAAGAATGCAGGTGTAGACAATACACAGTACATAGAAGAATGAACACGGCAGTTTCCCAGTAAACCTCCCATTATAAAGACAGTCATCAGGTCACATTCATTTGCAGGTTGTGGTTTGCTGACCACTGGTCTAGAAGTTTTTTCAGTGCTTACCTCTTAATTGTGTCATCTTTTGCTTTCATTCATTTACCTTAGAATATGAGAACTGTTTAATTTCAAAAGTGAAAAGGAGTCATTCAACTTTTTCACTGTTTTGGAAGTAGTTGTATTTTTCACAGAAGTAGCCCTGGGAAAGGCACAGTGAAGTACTATCTATCTGATTTGGTAGACTTCTTGTGTGTGAAAAGAAAATTCAAAAGGTGCCATTAAAAAGCAATTCCATTTTTCAGGCAACATTTACTGCAACAACATTTTGTAGAGGGGAGGACATTAGGTTTTCAGGTCTTTTAAAAATAGTATAATAAGCTATTTTATCTTAAACATAGCTGTGTTGCTATAAAAGTGGTTTAGACTAGGTGTTTTACATTCATAGTAGAGTTTGAGCTCCCCCTGCTGTTCATTGGATTATTTGCAAAGATTACAAAAAACATCAGATTATCAGATGTTGTTGCCTCAAAAATTAACAAATTTCTACCTATTTCACTAAGAATTAAATGTAGAAAGCACTAATTCCTTATTAAACATTCACTGTATTAGGCAAAGCAAATCACTTAAAAGCAAATAGGTGGTCACAAAGATGAGAATTTTACTTTAAATCAAAGATTTAAACAAAAAAAACTCATAAAAACAAATTCCATTGCATCTGTCTTATTGAAGAGAAGGAATAAAAATCATATGATTGTTCTAAAACTGTGATCGTCAGTGTATGCACTCAGGGGTCTTCCAGATAATCCTCAAGTTGATCTCTTTGAATAAAATGAACTCCATTTGTACAAAATGGTTGAGAAATAATCTGCAGTTACTTGAAGAATTTAGCTAACAGCCTTATAAAACGCATGCAGCACCTACTAACTTTGAAGTTACTGAATAGAATAAAATAGCATTGCACAAAAGCTATACTTCTGATATTGTAAAAGGTCACTAATTCAGAAGGCAGATCAGTATCGTGTAACCCATATATTAAGAATTAATGAACTGATCAAAATTAATTTTATGAAAATACATTATTTTATTCTTAAATTAGTTACATTTTACAACACTATATATATGAAGGAGACTGGGTTCAATGTGACCTAACACTAGGGAACGTATTGGAAGTTCACTGTTAGGATAAATACTGGGTGGCCTCTTGTTACAAAGATGGAAGGCAGGACATGTAGCCAGCTGGCTATTTTGGACAAATGAAGGTTACTATATTCATGTTTACAACATGAAAATAGCCTTAGTTTTGTTCCTGGCATGAGGCAATAATGAGTGAAGTACGTTACTGGAATGTCATAAATATTTTATTCCTCCTGTTCAATTCTAGCAGTTCAGGAGGGGGATATACTAGTAACTGGTCCGTTGACACTTTTGCCTTACCAAAATGACCTGTGAGCCCACAAAAGATTTAGAACTACGGCTCTATAAACATGAAGGTCTGTTTGGTTTAAAAAAAAAAAAAAAAGAAAAAAAGAATGACACAGTATTATACTATTTTGTTGGATTGTTTCAATAGAAACCACACAAAATTGGCACAACTGATCTCTCTTTAGAGGGTGATTTGCTTCTTTATCACTATCTTCATCTAGGATATGGACCAGAATTCTTATTTGAAAGCCTTTTTGAAGACACTATAGTGTAGCTTCAAGCTAATTTAGAAAGGAGTGCATAAAAGCATGTTCTTAATTATAACAAAGCACAAATCACTTATGACAAAACAAATACTTCTTGAATTATCACATGTAAGATACTCTGCTAGACACTGTAAAACAATTAGTCATGACTTTTGTATGGAAGACATTCAAAACAAGGAATTATGTTTAATGAGTGAAGAAGTTACTTAAATCACCCTTTACTCGATTTGTCTCTAGTGTGAGATTTTTACCTTGTGTAATGTCCATGTCTCAGGCCATGCTGTTAGGCTTTTGCTGTAACCCTCCTTTGCCCTCAGGTAGGTGGCAATGCTCATTGTGGCTTAATCAGAACACTGTTAAGTTCCTGGACATTCCAAGATAAAGCCACATATGCAGAACTTCTTACAGGAAGTAATATCTCTCAGTAACGTCCTCTAAATCTCTGTACCCATTGCTCCTTTATGATCATTTTCTCTGGTGTCTCTCTGCTCTCTTAACAACAATGTTGTCTACTTTTCTCAGAACTGCCATCTACCAATGCATGCTCAAAGTGTTAAGTAAGGGGGGGAAAGGTGAAGCTATTTCTTACCTATTACAGTCCAAGTGTCACTTAGAGTGTGAACATCTTGATTCAAACAAAATGTAAGATGTAGAAGACATACCCCCCTCAAAAAAAAAAAAAAAAAAAAGACTTTCTGTAAAAATGTCAATTTCTATCCTCTTAAGTATGACCCAGTTATCTCTCCCTCCTCCTCACCTCTGTGCTCATGTCCCACCCTGTTAAGAGAGGAAGGCAGGCCTGTACCTTACAGAAAGGAGAGCCCCTTCTTGGGCTTAGTGGGAGCTTGAATAGATTTGTAAGAATCATGCTTCCAAAATCATCTGAGATGTATGTGTAAAAGTATTGCCAAATTCAAACGTGTTTCTTGTTCTATTTCCCACCAAGTCCGAAGGTGTTGAAAGGGAGAGCCTTACGGGAAAGAATTTGCGAAGAATCTTGTCAGCAAGTGAGCTTTCTTAGGTCTAGTTTACATGTGAGAATACAACATCTGCCTGTCCCACCTGGTCCCATCTTCAGGTAGCCGTGACTACAGAAGAGGATTTCGACCTCTTAAACTGGAGTGTGGGCCTAGCAAGCATGACTCTTCATAAAAAGGATGTTTTGCAGTGTGATGATGGTAATTCTCTGTCTAGCAGGGACACTGAAAATGGTTATGTCTACTTTATTGAGTAAAACATGCTAAGTGGATAGAGTTAACGTAGTTTTATGTTTTCATGCTTCTACCCAGCCAGATCTGAAAACGAGCAGTATACGAAAACTTTTAGTTTGTGGCAGTCATGTTTTCAGCAATCAAAATCTCTAGTCTATTTAGAATGTAAAACTGTCAGTCTTGTGTTTCGTAGACTTTTTTTTTCTTAAAAGCAATAGTTTCTAGAGCATCTACTTTGAAACTTCAGTGAAATTTTCACAACTATTTTTCAGCAATCTATGTGTGTTTGTTTTTAAAAAGTAAACATTAAGATCCCCTCTCTGGTACTTTTTCCTGCCTATTTGTAGCACAGAGATTTGAAGAGATCAGTATCTGTCATTGTAAAATATAACTTTATTAAATTTGCAATATGTCTTTATATAAATTATAATC